AATGTCTGGTTACCGAAGTAACTGCTTTGATTTCTAGTCTAACCTACCCACATTGTGATTTGATCTTAGGTAGACGAAATCTATCAGTTGCCGGGCTGTAATGCAAGTCGAGTCCGGACAAAGGTAATACCGCACAAGTATATGTAAAAGAAAATAAAGTAACAACTTGAAAAGTTCAAATGTGTTAAAAAAGGATAACAATATTTTATATCTGATTTCTGAATACAGGACTGCGTCTTTCTCCCAAACCGCTAGTATGGATACGTGACACTTTGTGTTTGTTAGGCGAGTCTTAACATCTTAAGTTGTCTTTTTCTTTAAGAAACTGGTTCTTGGTGTATCTTCAGGCAATATTCGTAAAACTTGTTTTGGTGGTTTGAGTCTAAGTTGTTCTTCAAAAATAAATTGTTCTTGGTTAAAAGTTGAGGTTGTGATTGCGTGGATCTTTCAGTCAGGTTCCTGCGAGGCAGGTCTCAGAGTTCACAGCTCAACTGCTTACTTGTCTTACTTCAACCCCAATTGCAAACTGCTGTTCACTTGCTGCGACTCTGCTTATATAGACGTCGACCAAAACCGGGGTGGGCTTGTCGGGGTTTGAGGTTCCTTGATAATTCTAAATCCACAATAAGGATTTTCTTTGTTTTTGGTCAGGAAAATTTATTACTGTCCATTTTTGGAAATCTTTAATTTCTAGTTTAAGGGAATTGTCCTCCCAAATTCTTCCTTTCTCATATGTGTATCTCACCCAATCCCTTCAGGGGGCGTCAACAGGCCCCACCTCCTTCTTCATAGTTTACCTTCGCCTACCGCTCACGCCACCCTTCAGCCAATGAATGATCAACAGCGTGGGTGTTTGCAATTATCGCTCAAAGGAAAAAAAAAATTATCTTCCCTTTTTTTTTTCTTTTCTTTCTTTTCTTTGAGGAGAACTCTCAACTCAACTCTTAGGATGGTCTCTAATCTCTATCTTAACCGAATTTCATCTGGAGTTTGTCAACGAGATTTTCACCAATTATCTGTTCCGATAAAATAATTTTTATCATGTCCAGGTTTGGACGATAAAACAGGTGTTTTTCTTTCAAACCAATGTTAATGGTTTAATCTTTCTTTCTTTCTAACTTGTGGGTGGTCCAGCGGACATTTTTCTCGGTCAGAGCACTTGACCTGATTATCATTATCTCCCAGTTTCTGTTTCGTAGGCCACTTGACCAACCTGAAATTTTCATTATTGCCATGGGTAGATTGCTATCTTCTTTCGCCGCATCGTAACATAAATCAAATTAAATCTGGTATCTTACTTTCTTCGCTAATGAAAATAAAATCTTTACCACTTTTCTTTGTTAGAAAAAATAACATCGCTCAGTGTCTTTTCGTGATAGCTTCTTATCACCTAAATTAATTCTCGCCTTTTTTTTTTCACACAACCCTAAATAGTGTCACATCTGACTTTTCTCTTAGAATTGAGTCTCTGTTGAGTGATATGCATATAACTTTTTCCATGGTTTCTGCTATCATCTCTAATCTGAATCGCCACAAAGCATATGGATCTGATAGTATCTCTTTAATAGTCCTTAAGAAATGTGCTCTCAAATTAGTTCCTGTTCTCTCTAAACTCTACAATAAATGCCTTACTGCCTCTTGCTTGTTGGAAATTCTCCTCTGTTGTTCTAGTCTTTAAGAACACAGATGAACCATCTGAACCTTCCAACTATCAGCCTATTAGATCTCTACCTCTTTTTGGCAAAGTACTAGACACCCTAATAAACACTGAATAGGTTAAACATCTCACATTGCAGAGCCTTTCAGATAAGTAATATGGCTTTCACTTCTCTAGGTCAACTGCTGATGTAATAACGATTATTGCTGAAAGCATCTAGCAACCTTTAGATAAAACTGAAGCTTGGGCTATTACTTTGGACATCTCAAAAGCATTTGACAAGATTTGGTATACTGGTCTTCTTCATAAGTGGAAAAGTTATGGTATTTTTGGATGAAGTTTTTGAATAAATTCAGTCTTTCTTATCAAATTGTGAAATGAAAGTTGTCCTGAACAACCATTCTTCTAGATATTTTTGTACTAATGCAAGTGTCCCCCAGGGCTCTTTCCTTTGATTTACTTTGTTCTTCGTTTTCATCAATGACCTTCCTGATGATATCAGTTTTCAACTTGATATCTATGATGATACAACTGTTTACTCCTGTCCTGATGGTAAGTCTGATCATTTTGATACAGCAAATCTAAAAAAAATGACCTACAGTCGTTAACCGGGGCAAGGAATGTCTTGTTAGTTTTAACATCTCCTAAACAAAACTTCTCTCTATTAATCATCAGCAAGACCCCTTCTTGCCTCTCATCTGCATGGCTGATACTAACCTCTATAAGAATGACTTGTTGTAACTTCTTGGGCTAACATTCTCAGTTAACATGAAATAGAAAGATTATATTGAAACCATTGCTAGGTATGCTACTAAGAAAGTTGGTTCATTGTGTCATGCTAAACAATTTTTCTCTCCTGAATCTATCTTACATATTTATAAGTCTATCATTTGTCTTTGCTTTGAATATTGATGCCATATATGGTCTGGTGCTCCTACTGTATATTTAGAGATTTTTGATAAAATTCAAAGAATCAGTAATATTCTTCATTCTGACCTGGCATCTTGGCATCAGTCACTTTCTCATCACTGCAATGTAGCTTCCTTGTGCCTTTTCTATAAATACATTCATGGTAATTGTTCAGATGAACTCTTCTCAATAGTACCTAGACTTTATGCAGTACTAGATTGGCAGCAAGATCATATCAATTCACAGTTGATTTGGCTAGATATAACTTTAAGTTCTATGCTAACAGTTTCTTTTCTCACACTTCTTACTTATGAAACTCACTTCTGGCCAACTTTGATCTTCAAAAATATAAATGCAATGTCAATCTTTATCTACTGTCGTCTCAATTACTCTTCTGCTGTTCTGGATTCTTAATAATGCTTCTCTTTTTTTTCTTATTCTTTCACAATCAGTAACCTCTTGTCTTAGTTGCATGGGGTGAGATGATTTTAAAAAAAATTAAGTGCTTAGTTTTTATATTCTATTGAATTAAAGCTATTACCAACTTTCTGTATTTAATATATTTTTTATTCATTTTTTTATTTAAATGACATTATATATAATCAGTTTTTTATGTAATGTAGATTTTTACTGGCCAAACAAAAATAAAAAATAAATATTATTTTGAGAAATTTAAAAAAATATCTGCTAAATAAATGTCATATAAAATTAAACAAGCAATTTTCAATAACAAACAGTTATTTATATCATCTTCACAACAATATGATATATCTTAGTGTAAGGAAGTGAGAAATTTACCCACACCCCATGGTGTTGGGATTTGACACAATGTCAGTTTAATGTGGGGTGCCCATGTGTACGTATTGACCAATGACAAATATTGCACAGTCCCGGCAATCAGTATCATTCTGACATTGACATCTACCAATCCAACCTCTCCAGTGCAATGAGGAAGATGCTTCAGCAGGATTGCAATCCCTTGTCCATAACTTTAGGAAGAAAGAAGTTACTACACTTTGATCCTAGTCCAATTAAAAAAAATGGAACATTAAAAATAATAGAAACATTTATTTAACTGTTCTTATTATTCTATTAATAAATAATTAATCCTTCAAATTCAAATATTAATGGAAATTAAAAATAGCTTTATCAAAATATAAATCATTTGCTTACTCATAAAACGTCATGTAAAAAAAAAATTGTTGTCACTTTTTCGTACCTTGAATACGAATATTTTTTCTCATTTCAAAAGCATATCAATTTTTTAAAAGGAGCAATTTCTTTTCAAAATATTTAGTTTGTTATTTTTTTTTTTTAGTTTTACGAATTATTAATTCCACACAAAAATAGTGAAGTAAATGTTACAAAAATGCAAAATGTGCCAAATTTTTATTTTATTTTAAAAAGTAACAAAAAACAAGTTTCATTTTCTTTTTAATTAGGGAAGCTAAACTTGTCTTTTTTATTTAAAAACACTTGACTAAAAAAACTAGTTATTTATTTTTCTCAATACTAAGAATAAAATAACTTCAGAAGCATAATATTAAATTTTTATTTGTTCAAACGAATGAATGTTCTTTTAATTGGAAAGATTTTTAAAAGAAATTTACTTTTCTAGAATTTGATCAACTTCGCTATTTTGAAAATGAAACACTTTTAAACTAACTGCGATAGTTCTTATCAATTCCTTCCTAGCACTTCCTTTTTTCAACCTTGAATATTGTACCGGAACTTCCGGGGGAATTAGCGGGAGAAAAAAAATCCCGGAATTACCCGAAACATCCCGAACTAATTTTAAAATATTATGCACCGAAAAAAAAACAATATTAGAGAAATTATTATTTCAGTTGTTCTCATAATATATATATATATATCTGTGTGTGTGTGTGTATATATATATATTATATATATATATACACACACACAGATATATATATATATAATATATATATATATATATATATATATGGATAGATAAAATAAAAAACATTATAAAAAAAATAGGAAGTGCTCAAAAATTAGTGTGGGCAACAATGGGCAAAAGTAATAAGAAATCTATGCGCAATAAATAGAAAGGAAGGTATACAGATAAAGAAATAAATACATAAATACGAATAAAGAAAGAAGGAAGGAGAATGATGAGAGAGAGTGAGAGTAGGGAAGCGATGTATTAAAAAATAAATAAAGAGACGTGTGAGAGTAAAAGGAAGAGGTGTAGTATGAAACGGAGTAGAAGAAAGTAAGTGTCGGTAGCGCATGTGCAAATCTGGAGTCGGAAGTTATGATTACTTTTTCTAGCAGACAAGTGCGACGACTCGAAGTTTGAAAAAAAAAAACAAAAAAAAAAAAACGAAAAAAAGAAGAAAAAATAAGTCAGCTAGAGATAGGTGAAATTGCTAGTTTCGTTTTCGCGACAGATCAGTAATCCTTATCAATGGCAATTGCCGAGCAGCGAATAAGACGAGAATTCCGAGAAGTTATTCGAAGTGAAGAGGTAAAAATGTTGTGTTTGCCCCCACCTAGTGTTATGCGTGTAAAGCCCTGTTAAAGTGAAGACTCAACCCTTTATCGTACGATTTAATGTTGATATTAAGATTCTTGGTGTTAACAAGCATTACCATTACATTTAATTCTTATTTCATTGAAGCCTTTAACTTTTTAATGAAAGTATACAAAAATACTTTGCTGAAACATACCCTTTTGCTGGTAGATACCCAAGTTCATTTGAACCACTCTCAGTTGTTACAAAAACACTATATTTTACTGTGATAAAACTCTCTAAGTATACAAAAAATGTTTCTAGATACCTGAGATATAGTAAGTACACGTTAATAGTATATACTTATTTCTAACTTGATAAATTGCTGTAGTAATGAATTCTCACTATACCAGTTTTTCTTAATAGTTTCGTCTTAGTGCTATTCTTTTAGTGTTATTGTATTTCTTTTAAAACGTTAATGGAATCGTGGCTGTAAATGTACTAAACAGTTGAACATTCTTTTTTTTTTTTTTTTTTCTTTCTGTAACGTACTAAGAAATCTATTATACACTGAAAAGGGTTACTAAAAAGTCATATAAACAATATTCTAACGGTCTATTTATTCAATATTGCCTCTTCACCCAAGTCATGCCAGACGCTAAAAATCGCAAATGTCACAACTACATGCTTAATTTACCCAGTTTTCGCACACTTTGAAGCGGTCACAAACTGAGGGAGCAGTTCATAATTGATAGTTATTTGCAAATTGAACCCCGATTTTTATATGCTCTTATATCCGCCCAAGTAGACCGCAGAAATTCTCTGCCATTTATTAAAAAATAAATAAATAAAAGTAAATATTAAAACCGTTGCTGTTACTTCATTCTAAATATTTATATACTCTTTTGTTACTAAAACTTTACTCTGCCCTTGCTCCTTAAAAACTTAACATTCGTAAAAAAAAAACGTAAAAAGTAACTAAGTAAAACTTGTCCATTTTATTGATGTTCAGTAAAATTTAATTTTCATGCTTATTATTTTCAATAAACTTAACGTTCAGAAAAAGTGTTTTATTTTTAAATATATATATATATATATATATATAGTGGAGGACATTTTTGTTTGAGTTTGAGATAGCACTAGAGAGCAAAGAGCCGGAATCTTTTTGTCCTCATTGTCAAATCAGAAAAAGATTTTCGTTAAGTCTTAAATTTTTGCTTTCACAGATCTTGTTACCAATATCCTACGAAGCAAATTGTATAAACGAATACATTTTTTAAAATTATTTACAATCTCCTTGATAGAACTAATAATAAAACTTGTAGTATTCTCTTCTCTTTTGAATTGATATTGGAACTATCCAATATACAGTCAAAAAATCTGTATATAACGTAAATCCCCCCCACCTTGTTATTTCTTTTTTAATATTAGTCTTCTTGGTGGTAGGTATGTATGATCATACTCGTATCTCTTGGTGTATTTATTTATTTAATTAAAAACCCAACTTATTGTATCAACTTAGATGTTTATGGCTGCCCTTGTTAAGAGTTTTACTTTACAACATGAATTTTTAAAAAAATGCGTTTTATTTATTTTTCCTTTAATTTTATTTTGATTTAATTTGATGTCATCTTCGGTTGGTTAAATAATTCTTATGACTTTGCTTCATAAAAATAAGCCATCAGGTGAATTTTTGAGTGCAGCACATTTTTAACCAAGCTGTTCGGCAGTCTCACTTAACGACGTTGTCCTTGGATTTAAAAATCATTTATTTTAAATCATTTTTATTTATCACGTTGCCTAAAGTAAATACACTTTCTTTATCTTCTAATTAATAAAATATATAAGTGACAAATATATTGAAATTGGCGTATATTTACCTACTTTCATCTCTTAAGATTTGATTTGCAACGTTCTTGAGATATTTCTATTCGTGTCTGTATTTTAGTTTAAGCTTCTTGAATAATATCCAGATTGACTATGCACAAGTTTAGTAATTAGTTGCTGGTAGTTTAATATTTAATCTGATATATCGAAAGTACCTATTTTACTTTTTTAAAAGTAACAAAATGCGATGTTTCTCAAAGGCATTTCTTCACAACTATTTTTAGCATTTTCCTATTTTTATCTTCAAAAATATTTTTTTGGTAACATTTTTTTGACACGTAGTTAGTACCTAAATAACAAACTTGTGAATTATATTTTAATTTGCCAAATAACCGAGTAAAATTTGTTATTTTCTAAATATGGGTCTATTTATTACCAATTAAAAAATACATAACTATGAGGGGTTGGTAGGAATTTACATGCCTGTCTCATGCCGATACATATTGAATAATGTTTCATTTTAAAAGGAATTTTTTACAGTTTGCAAATTCTAATATTTTTCTTCAAGCTTTCGAAATATTGACTTTCCCTTTATTTTTACTTTTTTCATTTCTTTTTAAAAAGTCTTAAATCTTTTTAAACAAACATTTACCAAAAATCAGGGATATTTTCCCCTTAAACTAGTTCTTCGTTAATTTGGATTATTATGTGAACAAAACTGTTTGAATTTGTTTAGCAATTTTAAACTTCAAGTTGTATGTCTAGAACACTTCGACAAAAATTGTCATCGTTCTGAATTCTAAAATATCAATTATTTTAATTTTTAAACAAATTGATCGACTTAAAATATATTAGTTATGTCAATTATAAGCTATTGGCATTTTCACAGTTTTATTTGAAACTTAATTTTTGATTAATGGAGCGGGGATGAGAAAAGTTAATCATTGAGAATTGAAACCTTTACAAATTTTTCATTAATTTTACTTTTACAGAATGTTAGAACTTTCTTCCTTGTATATTAAATTTCCACTATAGTTAATTGTCAATTAACTAATAAAAGATGTCAATTAATTAATAAAAAGATTAGCTACGAAGATGAAACAGATAATTTTATAATCTCCGTAGCTTTTTTTACATTGTTACAGCACTTTCATTTTCATCAATAGGTTTAGGTACAATTTTTTTTTTGAAGTTTGCTGTTTGATTATTAGTAGCTTGAATCACTAGTTAAACTAACTAGCCTAGTACTTTGTCAGCATTATATTTTTAAACATTAAGTAACTAAACGTCTAATTAAGAGTGGCATTCTCTTAGTCTTGTAGAATTGTTGATCCTATCTCTGGAAAATGCTTTAGTATCACTTTTAGTTTTAGTTTAAACTTGAAACATTACAATTATGATCATTTATAAACATTCTTCTTGTGCAATATTTTATTGTCATTCTTAGTTTATTGCAAATAGTTAATTTTTTTTCTTGATATTTCTAACTTTTATTCCCTTAAAATGCTTTTTTTTACACTTTAAAAATAAAAATATACTGAAGAAAGTGGAATATTTCACTTTTAGTATCTTATAATTATTTTACTGGTAAACCATAATCATTTTGGTAAATTTGATATCCGACTAGTTTTTATTGTACAATGGAATAATCTTAATTTACGCAATCTCCTTGGTATTTATTTTAAATCAACTTTTTGATAACTAATGGTAGAATAGATTGAATTTTTAATGAATTTTGAAATCTATTTAAAAATTTAACGAGCTACCTACTAATATACATTATGAATTAACAAATAAAAACAAGTTGTGCTAAGAATTTCATTTTGATATTTTTGTATCTATATCTAAAAAGAGTATAATTAAAATTAATTTTTACTTTATCCTGTTAAATTGGTCAAAACTATTATACCAGTGTTTCTGTAATTTAAAATGTTATATAATCATGCATCATCAGGTTAAATATATTTTTGCATATAGATTTGATTTTAATGTCTTTTTATCGGCACAAATCCACCTCTTCTCCCCACAGCTCTTGGTTAAATTGCAAGGGAGACTCATATCTTTAGTTTTAGGTGGCAACGAATCAAACAGAAGGGAAACTCTGAATTCCAAACAGGAGAAGGCAATAGGAAACCACTTCATTATCTTTCCCAAGAATGCTTAGTAATTCACAAATAATAAAGGAAAAGGAATCTGAGGAGTGTCATGATCAATGCTTAGGCTCATAAAATGTACAAGAATAATTTGTATACTATTATTTTTTATTTTAATCATTTCACCTTAAGCATTCACCTTTAATGTCACTAGAATGCAAGGGGTTTAGAGGGTGAATGAGAAGATTTAAAATAGGGAGGATTGAGAAAAGGAGGTGGGGAATGAACAGGTTTCAAGAAGATGGTGATTGACATTGTATTTAAATTTTTGAAGATTGTAGTTATCAGGGAAACAAGAAATTGAAAAGGACTTCCACAGGTGGGAAGTGCAAGGGAAAAACTCTTTGTGGAGAAATGACAGCTGCATCAAACTAGTTCAACAGTAAAACAGTGAAACCTAGCTGCCAATCTAGTAGCTTTCTTAAATTCATGTAGTTGGGGGTACCAGGAAAAAAAGAAGCTTGTCTGAACAGTTACAATGAAATTATTTGTAGAACAGACAGAGAAGCCATATCATGTCAGTTAGAAAGTGACTGGAGACTAGATGCCTGGTCAGGATTGTTTATATTGCAGATATTTCTCTGGATTTTGTCAAGTATCTTGAGATGCACAGTAGGAGCACCAAACCAGATATGGCAATAGTATTCAATACATGAAAAAATTTTAGTCATTAATACAGATAAAGCACAGAGTTATAGTTGGAGGTAGATTGAAAACTAGCATATAGTACTTGTTTTTTTATTTGGGATCAGATGTCCCTTAAATAAAGGTGTCAGTTTATTAGAAAAATAACACTTTTTTTTTTTTTTTTTTTTTAAATCCTATAACAATATAGTAGATGGATACTAAAATGTTCTTAGTTTGACTTGCTTCCACAAATCTGACAATTTTTTTTTCTATCTCTTGGTCTGATAGAACTTTGCAACCCCTTCTCGTATTTCTGGCAGATTTTAATTAAAAGTTTTTATATTTTTGCAGGTTGAAAGATGCCGTATCAAAGTGGAATTAGTTAATGATAAATTTAATGAGCTGAAAGGAGAAATAGCTGGACCACCAGAAACTCCTTATGAAGGAGGAAAATTTCAGCTTGAAATAAAAATTCCAGAGACTTATCCATTTAACCCTCCAAAAGTGAGTAAAACTTTTTGGCACTTTTTTTTTTTTTTTTTTTTTTTTTTAAATAAAACTGTTCTAGTCTGAAATTTTCATGCCAAGAATTCCCCCAACCACATCCTTTACATAGTACAGCCTTATTTAGGTTAGAATTTTTAAGTGAATTATCAAAATTACCAAATTTTTTCATGCCTTCATTATTATCTCTGCCTTGTTACATAACTTTAAGGAATGATAGAATATATAATAAATAAAAAAAAAAGTATGTGTATAATCAAGGGTGGCAAGACAACATCTTGTGGAAATGTTTTGGGTGAGCTGTTTTTTTTCATCACATTTAATAAAAATTTTGTAACAAAATGTATATTTAAATTTTGTTCATGACTTGCAACTCTCAAACATCTGAACTTATCATATGTGGCACTTACATTAAGCAGATTTGGCCAACCCTGGTTTTATATATATATATATATATATATATATATATATATATATATATATATATACACACAAACATATACATAGACACACAAAGTTTCTTTTCTTAAGCACTCTTACACTATCATACACTTTAACATCCTGAATGTCCCTTGCACACACATCTATAAATTATCTATTACATTTATACTCATGATGCGTGTCTGACCAATGAGAACTACCAAAAGTCATAACATTCCGGTACACTGTCTCTTTATCATGTACACAAAATGAAATAAAGAACAAAGTAGGAAACAAATCTCAATCTGACATGATTCACCTTTATTAAGACTTCATCAGAGATTGACAGTCGTGTACTCTGTGCTTTTTTTATTTCTATTCTCAATCTCTGAAGAAGTGTTAATAAAAGTGACACATTAGATTGAAATGTTTCCTACTTTCTTTTATTTCATTGTATGTATGTGTGTGTGTATATATATATATATATATATATATATATATATATATATATATATATATATATATAGATATAAATATATATATACACAGTGACATAAAATTTGTCACTTAGTGGTTTATTCAGCATCTAGTGTTTTGTAAGTGAACCTTTTTTGTAATTGTTCACTTCACTTGTCAGAATGTTTCAGCTGCTTTAAAGCTACAATCAGAACTTATAAAACTTAAGTCTGAAATATATGTACCTACATAATTGAACGGTCACTTTGGAAAACCTGTATCACTTTTATCACCAATAACAAAACTAGCAAAACTGAATACACCTTATCTTAACAATTTTATTAAGTATTTGTTTTTGAAGCTGCCTCAAGTGTGTGTGTGTGTGTGAAATCTCATACATACACACCCACACAACTTGTGAAGATGTTTTAAAACAACTGCTAGCTTTGATTGAATGTAGCTTGGAAATAGTTTTGTAAGTGTCTATGAAATTTAATAAAATACAAAATTCAATACAAGAGTGATAAGTTACTCATTACTAGTTTTTAATTTTTTATATTTGAAGACATACCACAAATTAAATCTATTGTATATTAGTTACTAGCTTAAAAGCTGCCCTATTGGGCAATCATTTAAGCTGCTTTAGCCAAGGGTTCTTGATTTTGCTTTCATCACAATAGGTAGAGGGTAGTAGATATGGTAGGCAACAATAAACTAAAGAACTTAAAATTGATTGCTGCATTTAAGTATAGCATTAATATTTAAGCTTACCTTTTAAAAGTTTAATGATAATTCTTCTGCTGACAATTAATTTAAAGACAATTTGATGTACATAAGTCCTTACTTTTTGTACAAACAATTATTTTTATTTCATGGCTGACTTTTGCTGGATTTTGCAAGTAATTTTGTTTATTCCCAAATTTATTTCCAAGTTATAAAAATTGTTATACAAAATTTGTTGTAAAAAATCGCATAAAAATAAAATAAACAAAAACAATTGCAGTAATGAAAACTTTAGAATTCAAAATTTTGGGATTGCTGGTTCAGATCCGGCCCAGAATGTTTTTAATTCACTCACAGTCACTTGATTCCAAAATGGTATGATAAGTGAAGCTATAGCCTCTAGGAATAAAGTTGAAAAAGTGTGACACACTGACATTTGCATTTATTATATAGATTTAAAATTCATTTTATATCAACATAATGACCATTATAATAGACATTATAGGTATATAGAATTTTTGAAAAAATCATTTCACAAGTAATAAGCTTTTTATTTATGCAAGTATCTATAGTTTGACAAATTGATTAAAAAATTTAAAAACATTTGCTAAATCACTTAAATTTGGAATTCTGTTTTACTAATTAGCATGATTTAAGTAATGTCCAAATTAAAACATTTTTATTATCTGCCTTTTAACCCATCATTATAAAAGTTTTAGTAGATTATGTCAGTGGATACAATGCAATGGTTTTATTTGGTTTATATATAATATAATATATATATATATATATATATATACACACACACACACACACACACACACACACACACACACATATTAAAAAGCTCTTCACTGTGAATTGAGCCCTCTGGTCGCCAGTAATAATTATGTGCTTTTTTTTTTTTTTTTTTTTTGTTTATCGTGTGCTGATGGCCTAAAGGTGAGAGGCTCTGACTGATGTCAAATTGGTTTGGGTTTCGATCCCAGCTAGAAGTAATCGCATGTCTAGCCATGAATTGAAACAGTCTATCTGTGGAACAAACAAACAAACACACACATATATATATATATATATATATATATATATTTTTTTTTTTATGTTTTTCATAAGTGAAAACAGCAAATTTTAAATAAAATAACTAATATAAAAAAAGTAAATTCAGTTAAACTTATTTTAAGTTTACTATCATATTCACTATTACATTTATATTATACCAGTATTTTTGTCTTGTGATTTTAAATCTTGCAAGTATTTTTTATATTTCCAATACTGCTTAAATAGTTGTAATATTGGGGTGGAGGGATGTATGACAATGTGGAAAAAGTTTTCTTGTGACACATTTAGGCATTTACGTCTTCATTGCGCTATGAATCATAAAGGATGAAATGTGTCACAAAACTTTCCACTTTCTCTTATATTTCCCCCAACATTGTGTGTGTGTGTAGTTGTAATAGTATTGAAACAACTAACTTTTTGTTTAGTGTAGTTCTCTCACAATGCTAAAATATTTCGTACACTAGTAACTTCTCACTATGTTCTTGCTTATATCATGATAGAGAATTGGTATATATGAGAATAGTGGAGAGTAAAAAAAACTTACAAAATATTTTTGTTATATAACTAAGCCTTTAACTGTTATTGTGATTTGTAACAATTTCTCCTAATTTAGTTTTGTGTTATGGGATAGCTTGACATGACATAAGGATCATGCATTATTTGAAAGTAGTCATCTAAAAATTGAACATATTAATAAGTTTAATACAAATGAAATATCTGAACTTTGTTTATCAATTTAAGCAGTAATTCTTTTACTTTTATCTGGTTAAACTCAAAAAAAAAAGTATCATGAATTAAGGTATTAAAATATTGTACAGGTGATTTTAGTTTTATAGGTATGTCATTTAAATCTTACTTTTTCTTAATGTTTTATAAATAATTCTAGAATTAGCTAACGTTACTTTAGATGACTTGGCTTACTCAACTGCTGAAAGTTTATATCTATAATGAGATGAGAAATTGATATAATCATTGCAGTGGATTGAATAAGTGATCTTATTCAAAATCATGAAAGTTTACTAAATACAAAAGGCACCTTTTTAAGAAAAGCAAAATACAATGGTTGAAATGTGACTATAAAAACTGAGATAGGGCAGCAGTTCAGATGAATTGGTATTTAATATAGAATAATCTAGTTCTATGTAGCAGAAACTGAACTGCTAATAGTGCTTCAGTCATCAGCTTAGGAATGTAGTGAGGTGTGTTTGAGCTATTTTGAGTTTGCTCTGTTCTGTCATTAGTTATAAACAACTGGCTGTAGTAAGTTGTCAACTCTTGAATTACTGATATTTAAACCCTGCTAGAATTCTAGAATTGTTAGTTGGGAAATAAGATAATTTGTACATTTTATGTTTTATTTTTCCTAAACATGTTAACTAATTTCTATTAAAATATATATAGACTTGATTTGGCTTTGCCATTTTTGGCAAAATGTAATATAATCTATATGGAAAGAACTGAATTTTATTAATCATTGAAATCAAAATAGAAAATATACATAAACCTATTTATTTCTGCAAATGCATGTTAAAAAGAAAATTTGATAAAATTATTGATGGAAAAAAATTAATTACAGTTAAGAAAAGAGTGTGTACATGCAAGCAAATGGACCCCCAATTTTTATTTTTTTAACATTTCAATATATTAAAAAAATTAATGATATAATCTGCATAAATTCATGACAAGTTATGGAATAATTTTTTAAGTTATATTAGCAGTTGTATTTTGAAGAGTTTTAATGTCTCAAACATTCAATGGCTAAGGTTTAAAATGAATTTTTAAAAATGAAAAATATTGAAGTTTTTATTAGTCTTTATTTCAAGCTAATAGATTGAATTTAATACCTTGTCTTTGAAAACTAATTTAAATTGATTGGAAGGGTTTTTTTATTTTTTTTTTTATAGCTAAAAACCAGCAATTTTTAGCAATCTCTTAGCACAGTAATTTTCTTTATTAAAAATTCTTTCAAAAATAAAATTTTTCTGAACCTTTTATTTGAGGAATATTAGCTGATTTAAAATTTAATTAATCTGATTTGAAACAAATATTACTTACTTTTAGTTAAAATATTGCAGAAATTCATTTTTTTTAACATGGAGGTAGATGTTTATTGAAGGTGTTGACAGCTTGATTGTTAACCAGAAATTTAACTTCTTTTTTTTTTGTCTACCAGAGACATATGTTAAAAAAATACTTGAAGAATATAATATGAGTGTCTTTTTTTGTTTTAACTATCCAGTGATCTTTAAAATTTAGGAAGATATTCTCCATAATCTAGTGTTTCATTAAATTTTAGGTACTTTGGCTTTAAATTTACTACAGTTACCTCTCTTATTTTCTGA